TGATATTGAAAAATAGCACATTGTTTACAAGAACGGAGTAGTAATATTGATCTTAAAAATAACATAGAGGATAAAATGAAAAAATGAAATAACGGCGACGAAAAATTCTAATTAAAAAAAAATGCTGACTACTTACAGGCCCTAATGAGGTGGCTTTTTAAGGGTGAAGATGGAATGGTAACCCCTCCTGCGTTTTCGGTATACGCTGATGAGGCACCACTAAGCGATGCTAGATGAGGTTACAATCACATCAGTTGGCCTATCCTGATGAATTCATCGGGAATTAATCAGGATAGTTTTCAAGGGATACCGCGTGAAGGTCAACCTGATAGAGTATATTGATAGCAATGGGACTTCTAGACCCCATTACTAACAATCTTCCCCCCTAATAAAGTGGTTAGAGACATTTGTCACGATTTGTCCAATATTATTTTCACGAATAGTAAATTCTTTTAATCACTTTCTCATTAATACGTAATACTAATAATTCTGATTAGATGTAGGAATATTTTCTAAATCTTGTTTAAAAAATGTGTCATGCATAATTGTGATATAAATAAACATCTATCGGTCAACTGTCAGTTAGCGCGTTGTTTGGTCATGCCTACATACTGGACACATTCATTAATGGTAACTTCTGTGTCATCGAGGAAAATCACTTACAAGATATTCTCGTATACGTGAAAATACAATGTTTGGTTTTTGTGTAATATTAAACACATTATATATAAAACAAATATATGTTACTTACATTATATTTTTGGAATTAATAGAATATGAACTTTTTTTATTGATCCTTTAGATCAGAAGCAAGGTGTGATGATGAGATTCATAATAAATCATTTTAATTCACTATTTCTATTTGGAAATCCATTATATCATATTAGAATATTAAAAACATCAAAGAATTCAATGATTTTGGACTAATTATCTCCATTGAAGGAACGATCTTTAATATTCAGAGATGATAGACATGGCGGCTCATGCATGATCGTCCCTTTGATAAAGGATACACCTGTGTTAAGCATTGGATCATGAATGGCTTAAATTATGGTAAAATGATAATTATGAATAATCAGTGCAAAAAGCATTGATGTCGTAATATTGAAAAATGTGTATATTATCTGATATTGTAGCTACTAAATTGGGGAAACAATTATAAGCTATTATTAGATACAGTGATTACATACGTATGTGTAATACAATGTTTTATTTTGTGATTTTCATAAGTATATTTTATGTCTCTTCTTTTTTTATTTATAATAGTACCTCGACTGCAAATTTCATGTTTCTAGGCTCTGAAGTTTCTGCTTTGAACTGGACTATATTAGTTTGTCCTCTATTTTCTACTCAACTTTATACAATAGAGGAGTTGAGATGCATTTCAAGTTTCGGTACACGGATCTTAATAAAATATGCACCAGGTCTTAATTTGCCTTAATATCCAGTGGGTTGTAAAATTTCGTTGAAATCCACTAAGCTTTTATGTCGTGATGATGTAATCAATAGACAGACAATTCTAGAAATGGTTGATTTCTGTTGCATTGTTTTTTTTTTATTGATTTGTTAAAATCGTAATAATATATAATTTAATAATAATCTAGGTTAAATAAGTGTAGCTAATATGGATTTCCTGCTTACGTAAAAAATTTATAGTTTGATGGAAAATATATTCTGATCGACAAATTATTACAACACTATGCTTCCTAAATAATATTTAATATTACTGATGAAAGAACATGTGCCATAACGAATACTTACGGCGAAGGATCTATGATTCTGGTACTTCTGGTATTTGAAGGCGAACAAGTATATAATAGTTGTATGTAGAATTTACAACGCCTGCGCCTGCGTTGGCCGTGGTTTAACTCTCGCTGAGTACGAAACGGCTAATGTGCGTGCAATGGGGCAGGTAATGGAAAGTTGCCGCCATTACAGTTGCACATGTACGTTAATCATAGTATATCATATGTCTCAAAACAAGTTCGGATACTTTCACCTAATTGTATAATATATCCTAACTCGAATATATTATTCATAAAGAATTATCGTAAAAACTAATTGTTATATATGCATTTATCTAGAAAGTTTCGATGGTAAGAGCCAATATGTTTTATTATTTTAACGATACATATGATTGATTACATAACACTAGATACTTGTAATATGTTGCACAATGTTTCTTGTTTATTAACTGTCTTTGAACATTGAATCAACGTAAGCATTGGCGCTGGTTATTTTGATATTACATTTATGATTAATATATTATTGTGTAACTAACTTTTCGCACGCTACTTCTTACCCTTGGGTGTCAGAAGTAGGGCAACCAATGAAACATTCCACATCTAGATTTTCATAGAACTGTGAAAACCGAATCCAATTTGATGTAGTAGTTTTTGTGTAATGCCGGAAAAACATACAAACAAAATTTCAAAAAATAATGTTCAGGATTTTATTGCCCTTACTAAGACCCCGCATAGCAATTTTTCTTAAATAGCTCTTATAAATCAACATAATTTAGTTACAATGTTATTACATTATTTAACTAACAACGCGCCCCGGCTCTGCACGGTTTTTTTTTACTATAATGTGCATTATATTGTGCAATACATTAAATCTTCTTTTTGAATCACTGTCTATTGATGAAAATCGCATTAAAATCAATTGAGTAGTTTAAAAGATCTAAGCATAGAAACGACGGAAAGCAAATTCGTTTTGTACTATGTGGGGATAATTAATAGTATCATTATCTGTGATTCATTGATTAATTATGAATGCATGTCTTTATATAATTCTTATTATATAAAAGCATGCACTCAAGTTCAGCGTAGATAGGCACTTCTACTCGAAGTACATACTTTGAATTGGGCGCAATATGCTTTTCTGAAATTTGTTTGTATTCATGAGAATTGCGCATCGTTCTTGTTACACTAATTAAATTCCTATGCTGTGTACAAGTTTTCTCATACTCAGAAAACATTGACAATACTATCATCATGTTGTTTTTTTTAATGGATGATAATGGAATGGTAATCGTCCTGCACCAACGGTATATGCGGCGGCGGCGGCACCAGGAAGGATGATAGATAAGAATGAAAATTCAGTTCATTTAGTCCGAAAACCAGGTGTATTCATTACGAGTTTCCCAGGCGGACCGCGGGGAGCTTGACCTGACAATATATATTGTTAGCCATGGAGCTTATAATCCGCATCACTAACAAACCCTTCTCAACCATGCTGGTTAGACGGCTTGATATAAAGTGGTATTCCCTTCTCTTGCACTCATGTTTTCCACTACTCGCTTACGAGATCTTGGGAATAAAGTGGTGAAATTTTGTATATTTAAACCGACACTATAAGGACATAATATTACATCCAAAGACTAATACATTAAACATAATACCTAATTGAGTTACCCAAATTTTTGTTGCTTTAACTCTGTTGTAACTTATTGACATCTCGCTACATATCTAACTACCCACACAGTAGCTAATCAGCGCCCTTCTAAATTTATTTATAAGTTATACTTTGTTTCGATAGAACGTAATGAAAAGGTAACTAAGTTTTGTTGAAATTATCTCAGAAACACTCTCTAACAAATCGAAACACTTAATCAGTTAGTCTATTTTTTATTTTATTGTACAGTCTTGTGGTCGGGTCAATTACTCATTTGTTTACATTTTGGTTAAGTTTATTATAACAGATTATAGAAACCATGATTGAATTTAAAGGCGGATTGAGTAACATGTGAGCAACAAGTGAAACTGATCGCTTAGAAAGGGAATTTTAAAAATCTATGTATTATAGACAAATAAAATAATACCTACGATTTGCCACGGAATTAAATCAGCTGATATATAAAGGTTTTATAAGATTCTGTCAAGTTTCTTGCTAATTCTTCTCGAATTAGAACTCAAACGTTCTTAGAAAGACTAATAATTATTGTAGCCAAGCAAAAACACTGCGAACGCTTTAAAAACATTCTTCCCTCTGCCGGATAAAAAAAATACAACTGAACGCACGAACAATAGTTGAGCAGTTTCACAATAGTACTACTGGCTGGGTTTCAATCGCGGTTTGATTTAAATGTATTTGGATTCAGGTGAATAAGGCTACTTCTCCCGGTCCCGAGCGGGCGCATGAAAAATATTTGGGCGGGCGCCAACTATTGCTCGATTCGCGGGCGTCGCGTCGTAAGAACTGCGTCCCGACGCTCGATTGACCGACACATACATATGCAATACCGACGTGAGCCGCCACATCACTGAAGTGCATCGTTTATCGGTTAACGCGCGCCTGTCCGATACTGCTCAAATTATAATGGATATTGCTGAAACTCATTTGACTTGATTAGAGGCATCGATGGTGGAACTTATATCTGCTTACATTGCTCTAGCACTTTTAAAATTAATCATTTACGATTAACAATTTAATTTAATAATAGGCAGAGATTATATAAAAAGCAACGAAATAACGAAAAAGTTCCGCTTTTGCAGCATTATAAGTAATTACCTATACCCACACTGTAAAAATTCTTTAGCCAATAATTTAATTAATAAATTTGATTAAACTTCTTCTCTACTACTCTACTAAAACCTATTAATTTAAGAACAATAATTTCTTATTTTAAGTTAATGGAACAGTTTTTAAAAGTACATACTATTTTAAAGGAACGTAATTTATAAATAATATCTTATTTTCAAATCTACATCAAAAAAGGAAAAGGTTCTCAATTATGTTGTATTTTTATTTATGCTTGTTACCTTATTATTTCGTCATTTAAACTGATTTATATTTTTTTTATCTGAAAGGACATGATCATCCAGATTGATTCCACAGAAATTTTCAAAATCCGTTCAATGGTTTAGTTTTTAAATCATTTGAAGTCTGTGTTTTCTGTTACAACAAAATCCTAAATTATTTGTGGATTTTATGTGAACTTAAATTATGTCTTAAACCAACAAACACATTAAGAATTTATAATCTTCTCTTCATTACAGGTGAGTAACGGCAATGTCATCGATACAGGAACACCTACCCTACTGGTATTTACCATTTATTATCTTAGCACTTGCATATGATAGCATGTCTTACTATAATTATAGAAATAATTAGCAATCATTGTTTACTACAGTCACACATTTATGCCTGCAATTCTTGTCACGTACTTGCAATATATTTTATGTAAAGATGCCTGCTCTTGTGCTACAACTTCGTATTGTGTCTTTGAATATGTGGTAACTACAATTTAAATGTCATATCAATAAAAATAAATCAAATATCTCGCTTATCTACCATGGGTTATTCTTACCCGTTAATTTCATCAAACCTCCACTCTTACATTATTTTCATCTTGGCATGGCATTGATATAGGCAAGAAGCTGGCACGTAATATTATGGAATGCTTTGATCGAAATGTAGGTTGTGTAGCTGGTAAATCATTTAATTTTATAGTTTTGGACCTCATTTGTCACGTTTCCAATGTCATTCCACTGCATACCGTATCTACACGAAGTTATTCTCTGGAATTGAGTTATTTTCATTTCAAAATGCTCTTAGAGCCGCGTCCCAAGAGTTATTTTCTCGTTTTACACTTGTAGTACATATGCATCGTTAAGTTTTTCTCTGCATTTGGGCATGTTAGTTATAGTTTTGTTAATCGATACATTTAAGTATACTTAGACTTTATCTAAAATAATTAAAAAAGTAATAAAATTTTGACAATTTAAACTGCAAACCACTGACATCAGATATTTCTGTACGGCAGCCATGCCATTGACGCCCTACTAGCGCGTGCTCTGCATACATACAGTTTGTGATCAATTTATATTACGTACTCTAACTTGAACTCTGTGGGAAGTGTTCAAAGTTTAAATATATATGCCAGCAGCCTGTTCAACAGAATACATTACAAGGCCCCGCACAATCGTTGCATATTCAATCAAATCACACATTTTTATGTAACTATTAAGTAAGCAATATATTCTTAAGAGACAGTTATATTATATATTTGAATAATAAATTGACGAGAATTATTTTTTTGACACAGACAGTTAATGAAAGAATCTTGACAACAAATTGTTTTGTCAAACAAGCCATACAGGAAATTTCCTTGTATGGCATGCACAACTGGTACGTTACTTAAATGTGACCTGCAGCCTTCTCTTTATGTGCAATATATCCTAAACACCTACCATTTTTTTATATGTATTTATATAAAATTGTACTTGGTTGCATATTTATTTAATAATGCATAATATAGAGAGCAACAAATGTAAGCAAGCGAAATTAAATCGTACTTTTACCTTAGTCCTTGGGAATAGTAACTCGTTCTATATTATGAGCAATAGAGCGACTTCTTTACCATCGGTTACCCTTTTCCATCAGATAGATCGTGGGGTGGTTTCGAGTTGCGATACTAAGATAAATAAAACAGTATCTCATTATAAACTTTATCAATGGTTTTATATTAAAAACTATACAAAACAATATGAGAGTATTTAGTTTTAATAACATGTATGTTGTTTAGATTTAACAGGCAGGGACATAATCTTATATTTATACACCAATAGGTCAAATGAATAACGTGTCCTTATTTCCGTAACGATGGCTCTTCTAACAATGATAAGAAATCTAATACGTAGGGATTTGCCTTTGAAAAGGGTTCGCCAGATACTGTCTTTGTGGCGATGTCCCCACTCTCCTCATGTAGAATAAAATTATTAGATTTTACCAATTGTGCGACTTTTATTGTTGGATCTACTATACATTGTTATTTTTGAGTTTTCGTAAATATTCCAATGTTATTATTGTGAACTAATTATATAAAGCCCTATACAATTGATACCCTTACGTACAACACAATTTGAACCTTTTATAAATTTATAATTCTCGAGGAGGTAGACTGGCATGTGTGTGTGTGTGTATATATATATGTATATACCTTTCAATATACAATAATATATTGTAATACTAATAATATATGCATATATAAAATAGAATCCTTATATTTATTAAAAAAATCCCACAGGCTTTCCATAATAGATATTCTGAGTCTATTATGATCTATTCTCATTCTATCTTGGTGTTATTTCAATTCTCGTGCACTTATAATTACGCATATTAAGTTTATGTTAATGTCTTATTTATACGTATAAAAAGACTTGTCCTGACTGTCTGATCTATCAATGATTCAACACAGCCTAAACCGTTGGGATTAGAAATGTGAAGTTTTGAATATAAGTATTTTTTTTTATGACGTTCGCATTCACTATGAAAGAATTTCTGGAAATTCTCGCGGGAATGAGAAGAGACAGGGTAACGAAGTTCACCGGACAAAGCCGTAGTAAACAGTAATTTCATAACAAAACAGCCACAAAATGTTTGTACGTATTGGACAGTGTTTTTGGGTTTTCAATAATGGGGATTCCCTTTGCCTTATATCTATGATATCAGAAAATTATGGCGTGTTTTATAATAAAAGATTTTTTTTTATTTAATTACAAATTGGATAGCTCATATTTCATTATTCTATTTCTCCCACAAAATACCTACATCTGAGAGATGAAAGTTCTGTTCTAAAGCTAATTAAGATCTAATACAACTGACAGTGGCTTGATTTAGGTACTATGCGTGCATCTTGTGTTAGAGACAAACTTGTCATTCCATCCTCTCAAATGACTACATCACAGAATAACTAGGTTAAAGAGAGAATCCTACGAGAGTCGCAGAAGACGACTCTTCTACCTATCATTTTATTAACTATAATTACTTTAATATAAAAGTCTTTGGAAAATGAAAACAATAATAATATTCTGAATATTATGCACGAATAGATTTGAGGTAAACAATTGTTGATCAGTATCGGCAGCAAAGTTCAAACGGGAACGTATATCGTGTCACCTTTATATGTTGTCGTACATCGAAGTATCATTAAGACCTCGTCTGGACCAGTGCCAGAGTTAATATATTATTAGCACGACGACATCGTGCGAGTTAATCAAGCTCAAATACGATCAATATTTCCCGAATAGTAAGTAGGTGATTTCTCAGGGCCGGCATCTCTCGGCTGATCTTGCGCAGCGTCTTATACGTGTCGGTTCCATTTTCTGTCAACCAAGATTACTGCTCATTGCTGACAACCATCTACGTTCTAATGCAAAATTGAAATATATCAACTCAAAAATGACAGTTTAAATAAACACAATAATTACTTTGAAAAGTAGCGCAAGTTGTTTGAAATTAATATCGCAGAGTAAATAGTTATATTAATATGCCGGAAACCTGGAGGCTTGGCCCATGTTGATTCTGTTTTTTTCTCTTTTATATTCCCGTGCGAAATTTCCAGAGTGTCAATATCTGTTACATGAATAACCTCGGCAAAATTTAAGATTATAACTTTGTTGTAATGTAAATTATTTTTTCATACAAGCTTATTTTATAAATATTACTACGGACTTGGTATAGATATTTTCACTTTAAATAACTAGATTGACTTTAGCTGTGAATAGTTTATTGCTTACCTGCATTAAAGTAAGTGAACCGGTCTCGTGACTGTTTTCATGGAACTTGTACTCAAAGCAGCAGACTCGCTAATACCACAACATTTCCTTAGCAGTATGTAAGTAACGCGCACAATTATGCTACCTAACACACAACACTGAACCAGTGTTATTTACCACCAGATACAGATTACTTAATAATTTGCTCCAGGTAATAATAAAATTAAGCCCACTTCAAAAAACGAACTATCATAAAAAAAGTTATAATCGCTCAAACCATTTTGCTTGTAGTAGTATTCCGTAGCTGTTAATGATTTAGGGTAGGAATTTATTTTGTTTTGTTCTTTTGGAATACTCGTAGCTTGTTCGAAAAATACGTTACTTAGCTAGTTATATCTCGAGCAAGTTAACTTTTATAAGTTCTGTCTATATTACATTAGATGTTTTGTGGTGATATTATAAATAGGCATAACTTTAGAAAATGGGGTTGATTCTGAGGTGCTTATTCTCTAAACTTATTTCAAAAATTAAAATGTCAATTTGTCATGCCAACGAAATCTTTATTCTAAGGACCAAATAAACTAAAATTTTTAATAGATTTAAGAAAAATATATTATAAATTTAGTTCATGATGGTCCATAAAATAGTAATTTCGCGAATTATAAGAGTTAAGAAATAGGTTTACAAAAATGGCAACTCAGAATCAGCACTACTGTTTACCTTATTCGACATTATTTTTCATTCTCTCTTGTATGTACAGGGGAGTTGATGTTTATACTCATATGTATACAATATTGGGTATAATTGTAGTGCCTGCGTTATTGTATTCATAGTTTCTGAATAAAATCACTACAACACACCATGATATATCTTGTATTTAACCTGTAGGTATAAGAAACTATTCCTATGTCATAAACTTAATAGATTTACCAGAAGTATCTGGCAAAACAATAGTATTGAAGCGAATCTCCAAGAAGCCATATTAAAACGAAATTTAAATGGGTTTTTATTAAAGTATGAGTATTGAAATAAAATAGTTAATTAACAAGATCGGTGACCCGTTAAATAGGGTGTACCCCGGGTGCAGTTTTAAAGAGATTGGCTCGCGGTACGCCGCTGCTCGTGGCGGGGTCAGTGTTGCCAAGTGCATTTTTTATTTCTACCCAAATTTCAAATATTTCTGTACAAAATTTATAGGATTTTCTTCGCTTTTATCGAATCACAAACTCGTATCGGATATCACTAAGTTAGTTAAAAGAAAAACTCCATTCTCTATGTTCGTTTCTTCACTTCATTTCACTATCTGCATTTGTACGGGAACGGATTCAAACTCTCCAAAAATTACCTTAAACTTTTTTACACTCAATTTATTTTTCTGTAGCAATTTAGTTTTTCTAAATTTCGCGAATATTGAAATTTTTACGTAAAATTATGAAAAAATACCCAATCTGACAACGCTGGCCGGAGCTGAACAAACGTGTCTGGCCCAAGCCCTAATGGATAATACTTAATACTACTGAAGATCCAATTTTAGTTATATTACT